ATGCTCTGCTCTTTTTTCTTTCTATGTGTGTCACTGTGTCAGCTCGACCAGCTTAGGTCTAATTTTGGTGCTACTTTATTTTCCTTTTTTGGATCCTGATATGGAACAATGTAGTCCCTTGGGTAATTGATTTTACTTGAAAAAATTTCCATCAAAGCTGAGCGCCAGATTCATAGATCTGCATTATCAGTTGGTGAAATGATTTGTTCTTTTTGCTTTTGATGCTATTGTGTTGCATTTATACAGTGAAACAGCCCTCCATACTCCATCCCGATTACCACTTGCTTGTCGTATTAAATTGGGATTTTTTCGTATATTTACGAAATTTTAAACTTATTTACCCGGTTTATCTAAATTTTTCTATTTACAGAAAGTAACTAAAGTTTTTACAAAATATATACAAATTCGATCAAAATCTACAATTTATCTACAACTTAAATATAATTTTTTGTACAGAAATCCGGTTATACACCCGACATACATAATATATACAATTTATTTGTAACAGCACCCAATCCAAACAAACAACAATTACGCAAAATTCGATTTTCAAATTCAAAGCTTCGAAACTTTTAATGGTTGTTAATGGAGTTTTTAATGAATTAACATAGGTTGGTTCCAAAATCTTTCTTCCATAAGCGAAAAAGCTGAACTATTTGATCAATGACAATAATCTAACGACATATAGCATAAGTATTCCCTTGAAAAGGAATCCAGAAAGGAACCTCATGAATCAAACGTTTTCGTTCAAGTCCTATTGCTCCTATATCTACCCAGTTTTCGATTCTGGAGGTACCCAAATTTGTCCTTTTGATTGTATATTATAATTATGGTATTTAGTAAATTTTGAAAGAATTATTTGATTGAATAAACAATCAGGCGAGAGGAAAAAAGGGGATTATATTTTAATATATTATTTTGTATATAACTGATATATTGTATATTAAGTTATAATTAAATTAAAACTTTAATATTGAAGGAAAATAAATTTCAAAGGTAGTATAGATCAGTAGAAATTCCTAAAATGATACGAAGTCCATCCTAATTCCTAAAGGCCAAACAATTGAAGAGGATAAAAAAGGTAAAATAGCTCTAGAAAGGTTCCTCGGCAACCAATGACAAAGGTTAAGCTGATTTACAATAATACTCTAAAAGATAGGTCTAGAGTACGTTTTTAGACGTTTTAGATAACAAACGATTTTAACATATCTAATAAACTATTTTAACATTTCTAATATTTAATTTATCAATAAAAATTAGGTTAAAGAATATGTGAGAAACACATGAAAATCGCAAAAACCAAAAAAAAAAAAAAAAAAAAACCAAAAAAAAAAAAAAAAAAACGTAGTACATGAAATTTTTTAGTAACATTTCTAGAAGCAATAACTTAAAATGAAAGATCATGTTATTGTAAGCCCCATATAATTTTTATACGAAATTCAGACCGATTGCAACTTTAAAATATATCTGAAGTGTTAATTAACGAAGCTCCGGTACGATATTGGAGTATTTGGGACTATACATTTTATACATTAAAGGAGTGAAATGGAATAAATTAAGTTGAGGTACCGTCAATAAAGAAAAAAAAATTAACTCGAGGTACATGAATGAAATGCAATAGATTAAGTTGAGATGACATGAATGAAATGAGATAAATTAAAGTGATGTACATGAATGAAATGGAATGAATTAAGTTGAGATATTTAGCCTTAAAGGACTTAAATGGTTAAAATTTAAAGAAAATAGATGTCATTATATGATGAAGGAATTATAGTCATTTGTTGTAATTATATTACTTACAACTAGTGAATTTGACCGCGCTTCACGCAGTTATAAAAGATGGCAGTAAATTTAGAAATAATATTTTTATAAACTTAGCAGAGATAGTGTAATATGACCATTATTTTGTCAAATGGAGTCCATCTCACATAAGCATAAGTATCTTTGCAAAGTGTAGACTTTGTTAGCAATATTCTTTGGGACCCAAAAATATTACATTGTGTGTTGGACATCATTTGCACAAGTTTTATCTCTTCTTTTACACCTAAGAGGTCAAGACTTTTTTGCCTATAAAAGGGAAGACCATTAGTTCATTTTAGACACACCAACAAGACTTGTCGTCAATTCTTGTTTCTTCCTTTCTTCCTTTATTAAGAGTGTTTTGTATGAGAGTTAGTGTTGGGAAATACTTATGTGAACCCTTTCTTTGGAGTGATCTTGTGAGGTTATTCTCATAGGGTATTTGGAATTAATTAGAGTGTTTACTCTAATTTTATACTCTTATTGTTATAGTAAATTGCTCTTCTCCGCTTGTGGACGTAGGTCACTTTGACCGAACCACGTTAAATTTGTGTCTTCTTTATCTACTTTAATTGTCGTTGTTATCAACTTCCATTGTCTTTGTTATTGTCATTATACCGTTGTTTGGCTAAATTCCGTACTACCCGGATTCCCGATCTTAACAAATTGGTATCAGAGCCGGATCTAACCGGGTTAGTTTTCAATAGCCAAAATGACTCTAACAAAGACCTATATTGAGAAATTTGACCGAAGTGCAAACTTCGGAATGTGGCAATTAAAGATGGAAGCTATCCTAATTCAGGATGGCTTAGACTTGGCGTTGCAAGGAAAGGAGAAGAAGACGGATAAAATGACGGACGAGGAGTTTGCCATCATAGACAAAAAGGCAAAAGCAGGTATTATTTTAAATCTCTCAAATGAGGTTTTACGTGAAATTTCTGTAGAAATCACAGCTAAAGGCATGTGGGAAAAATTAAAAACCTTATATATGAAGAGAACGATGGAAAATAGACTTTACCTGAAGCAGAAGCTTTATACAATTCGTATGGGTGAAGGTACCTCTATTCTCTCTCATCTTGACACCTTTGATTCCATTCTTATGGATTTGAGTAATATAGATGCTGAAATTAAAGATGAGGATCAAGCCGTGTTACTGCTTTGTTCTCTACCCCCATCTTTTAAGCATATAAGAGATACTATGCTTTATGCAAAGGATAATATCTCTTATAAGGATATTAAATCTATCTTAAAATCAAAAGAACAGATAGATAGTGATATTACTGGGGAAGCTAGTGGAACTCAAGCGGAAGTTGGCTTGTTTGTTAGGGGCAAATCCGACTTCAATTCCAGATACAATAATTTAGAGTGTCGCTATTGTCATAAGAAAGGTCACAATATCTCTGAATGCTATAAACTGAAAAATAAAGAAAAGCACAAAGAAAGAAAAAATGAGCACAAAAATACTGACACCGCCGAAGCTAGTGTAGCAACTGATGAGATTGAGGGAACTATATTTTTAGCAACTGAAACTAGTTTCAGATTAGACAATGAGTGAATTTTAGATTCCGGTTGTTCATATCATATGTGTCCTAGCAGGGACTTATTTTCTACATATGATTCAGTTGCAGGTGGAGTTGTCCAATTGGGTAACAATGTTACTTGTAACGTTATTGGCAAAGGTACAATTCGTGTCAGATGCACGATGATGTGGTGAGAACTCTCACCGATGTTAGATATGTTCCTGAGTTGAAGAAAAATCTCATCTCTCTATGCACTTTAGAATCCCTTGGGTGCAAATTCACTGGTGAATTCTGAAAAATTTTCAAGGTGCTTGTTTGATCATGAAAGCACACAGATCTGGTTCGTTGTATACTTTAGTGGGATCCACTGTTATAGGCCCTACTACAGTTTCGGTATCAGACAATTTTTCTGATTTTGATGGCATTAAATTTTGACATATGCCCATTGGGGCTCTTGCGGAGAAGGTGGAGCAAATTTACTAGATCATCCAAAATTAGGCCAAGGTGGAGATTTGTAATATGACCATTATTTTGTCAAATGGAGTCCATCTCACATAAACATAAGCATCTTTGCAAAGTGTAGAATTTGTTAGCAATATTCTTTGGGACCCAAAAATATTGCATTGTGTGTTTGACATTATTTGCACAAGTTTTATCTCTTCTTTTACACCTAAGAGGTCAAGACTTTTTTGCCTATAAAAGAGAAGACCATTAGTTCATTTTAGACACATCAACAAGACTTGTCGTCAATTCTTGTTTCTTCCTTTCTTCCTTTATTAAGAGTGTTTTGTATGAGAGTTAGTGTTGGGAAACACTTGTGTGAACCCTTTCTTTGGAGTGATCTTGTGAGGTTATTCTCTTAGGGTATTTGGAATTAATTAGAGTGTTTACTCTAATTTTGTACTCTTATTGTTATAGTAAATTGCTCTTCTCCGCTTGTGGACGTAGGTCACTTTGACCGAACCACGTTAAATTTGTGTCTTCTTTATCTACTTTAATTGTCGTTGTTATCAACTTTCATTGTCTTTGTTATTGTCATTATACCGTTGTTTGGCTAAATTCCGCACTACCCGAATTCCCGATCCTAACAGATAGAATAAATAACAATTTTCTTGTATATGCATATAATTTTTAATTCTTTTATATTGATTAAATAAAAAAGGTAATATTTTTACTGACTAGATAAGTAATGCTCCATGCCAATTTTATTATACATAATAGAAATTCAGCCTTTTCTTTTTTTCTTTGAATCGCAGAATCACCCCTCTGATCGTCCAGAAAGTCAAATGCTACATAAACTTGGATTTTTGGTCAAAATTGAGAGGAGTTTCGATACATGACTTGACACATATTGCTAGTATTTTTGTTACTTCATTTTCTTGATGTAATCAAATTGTGTGTCTAATAATGCCTTCTGCTTCATCTAAGTTTATATACACTCACAAGATGTATAAGACTGCATAATCTTCTAGATCTCCAGCCATAATAGCTCCTCTTTTAACTTCACAAACGCTGGGATCAGAAACCTATCCTCCTTTTGAAATTGCAAATAAATGTGATAGAACCCCTAGAAAATGGAAGAGCTGAAATATAAATTATAAAATCAACTCCAAACACTATAAGTTACAGAATTGGCCTGTTCGAAAAGATGTGGCAGACAAAGTAGAAGTGAAAAAAGGATTTAAAATGAAAGAGATCTTGTACTGAGAAAAAGTCATTAACATACGTGACACTGTTAATCGCCATGTAGAAAACAGTTTAATTAGCGCTAGACTCTCTCCTTGAAACAAAGAATAAACAATTCTAACACAATGACAACATCATTGAAGCGAGATACGTACTACATAAAGTTTACAGTTTCCTCCGCTTCTATCACTCCTCACTCCTTTGCTTCGTCACTGCACATGCTAAAATCATATTTTGGAGCAATGGGCTAGAAAGGTAGAAAGTTCAGACATTTAACCAAGTCTCTTCAGTCTTTTATGGATCAACATGTAACATCACCATCAATAGGAGAAGCAAAAAAAACCAATATTAGTAAAATCTTTGAAACACAACTAAGTATGAAACTAAAGATTACTAAGGCAAACTGCAAATGTCAGTAAACTTAAATCCTTAATAATAAAAGTATTGATGTGTGACTTACTGACTTCATTGTACCTGAATCTGAATGGCATCAGATGGATGATATTAAATATCAGTTGCAGTATTGATCAACTGAATGGGTTGAGTCGTCATTATCGATCCACTAATGCATTACCTTGTTACATGTGACTAATCCTTCAACAATATTTAAACAAAAAAGTTCAGACAACCATCTTCTAATTAGGCATCAGCTTACCTCCTTCCTTCCTAACAGTTGCCCTTTTCTTTTATAATTACTAATCAATTTCGTCAACACACAATATAATGCAAGCATGAAAAGCACATCTCCAATTCACACTATTAAGTCAACATACATAGCTAAATGGAAGTTTACAAATTGTAGACTTCTGAGGCCAGTTAAGAGCTCCGTGGAACTCCTGTGTGCTGGGGAAAAGATTTCTTTGAAAGCACTATAGATGAACTTATTATCTTGGTTTAGGCTTTTGTTGCGGGTCAAGATCAAGGAGAAACAAATTATTTCTAGCAATGGGGTGTGGAAGCAACTTTACCTATTTTCGCTTTCTGCTTATCCTGAAAGCAGCAACTTCGAATCTTTAATAGTACGAATGTATAAGATTCTGTAAGAAGAATACTAATATGATAGCACCGAAAAAGTTAATTTTGAGAAGGCAATTCACAAACAAAGCTGGTACCATTATATGAAAGATTTTCTAGAAAAAATATGACGAAAAACTGCAAAGGCATAATGGAGTAAAGGAGAAGAGAAATTTTATATTTAGAGGAAAAGAAGAAGATGCAATAAATGAAAAGCATAAAAGTCCAGTTAAAGTGGGAAGGAATTTTAATATACATACATCTCAGATTACTCTCAACACATATATCTGTGAACTCCATCCATATGAAGACTTTGATCTTCACTTCATCAATACAAGAACATGTATAACATCCATTGCAACTTTACTGACCTATCTAACCTTAAATGGGAAGGCATTGAGTTTACCTGCTATTTATAACCATTCAAATGATTAGGTGTACATGCTAATGGTAAGTAGATCGACATTTGCAATGTGACAATTGTCCATGATACTTCCATCATGATTTACACTCTCAGAATGGTCAAATGAAATATTGTAAGACATACTGGGTGTATCACACACCAAAAACCATCAAAATTATCCAAAAAATAATAATTAATTCCACATAACTTCATTGACTTTACAACACCAAATAACTTAGAACAGTTAGAAATTGAGTAATTAATTAAAAACCAAAAACGAACCTTTAAACCAAAATGAACTTCACATAGAAGGTCAAGGAAATTACCTCGGATGAATACTCACACAGAAGATTTGACTGTTGAAATCACATTGGTTTTAATAAGCAAGTTTAAGCTGCTAAAATGAAAGGAAACTACATAAGGACCCATGAACTCCAGAAGTAGAATAAAATACAAAAACTCAGTATAACTTTACAGGGACAGATTAGCAAAAGGCATTATTGTATAGTAGTAAGTATGGCAGAGATGGTATTACAAATAAATATTTGATATGTAGGAACATTAAAAAAAATCTATTTTGATTTAACATCAGAGTGTCATAAAATAAAAATAGACATTGCCTCGCCAAACAAAATAATAATTGTTATAAGAAAAATCAAATTATGGTGGATGTCTACTCTTCCTCCGTGATCTTCTCAAATGCTTAATGACATATTCAATGACATATTTTTATGTTTAATGACATATTCAATGACATATTTTTCTTCACTTTTCATGCCTATATAAAGGCCTTGTAATAGATAAGAAAATACACACAATTGAAAAGAAAATTTCTTCCTTCTCTCTATCTCCATTTCTTGTTCATGTTTTACTAAATTACTTTTATTTCATAACAACATGTCTTGTTCATGTTTTACTAAGTTGTTTTTATTTTATAACACGTTATCAGCGCGATGCCCTAATCAATTGAGTTACTTACATCTACAAAATTGTCCAACATCATAAAAGGCATGTTCCTGCCGTGCCTAATATTCATCTTGAAGAGATAAGTTTTTCTTTCTCATTTAGCAATTTCAAAGAATGGTATCAAACATAACTGAAGTAACAATAAGGTTGAGGAGACCAGTACATTGTGATAAGGCATATAATGCTAATGCTAAGATACGTTTTCTAATCCTTTTTAATTAATTCATTTTCTTATTCGTTTTTCTCATAGGTTCTTTATTTGTTATGAAAGTTTCCAATGCTAAGTATTTTCTTCTTACAAATCCATTCATATTCTTAAGTGTTTTTCTTTATAAAGGAAAATACTTAAATGTAAACTAATTACTACTCCATGTTTTACTTATTTTATTTTGTTGCATTATCAATATCTATTTCAATGAACGCGTTTCTAATATTTGTTGTAAGTTTGGTCTGATCTCTTTCATCTCGTATTCTGGTTATATAGATCTTATTATAAGAATCAGAAGAATATAATGATGCAGCCAAGAGTTATGTACTAAACCAAAGACCAAAAGAAGTACAAGAAATTGGGGAGCTACTACAGCTTTTGCAAAGTCATTTGAGGAACTTTGGTTCCTTAGTTAAAAAAAAAAGCAAGAACCTTATGTAAAGTTTCCCTTAACTGAACGTTTTCCTATAAAATATATGCTTGACCATCATGCGTCATTCTGACTTTTGAAAAGGTAATGTGAGGTAAGTTTTTCTCGGGTAATCTTAATAGCACAACTAGCATACGTTATTGATAAATAAATATACGATCCAAATAAAAAAATATTTTGAATTAGCATTGGCCGATCAAAACTTTTAATTCTCGTATATTGAAAAATTGAGTGAGTTTGTATCTCTGCAACCCAATTTTTCATTATTTGTACACGATATTCTTAGTACACTCCATTGAATAAAAAAAAAGAGTTTAGTTTCTTGTGACTTAAAATACATAACTACTCCTATTTTATAACTGATATGGGAGGCAACAAGATGGTAGAGTCATTCCAGTATTGACTTTTTCATTAATGTTAAAAATATTGTCAATGATATTTTCAATTAAAGGTTCTGCTATATCTCTTTGTTTTTCTAGAGAGCATAATACTTAGTTTCCATAAAAGTGCATGGTAACTAGTAGTACTATATTATTCTATTTGATACATTATTTTTCTTTAATGTTCTAGTCATATCACTTTCATCTTGAAGTAAGCTTATTGCAGCAAAGACCACATGTGAATTTTCAATATTATTTTATATTTTCATATATCTGTTTGACACTAATTACTTAGCTGATTTGAGTAAACGAAAGTCTATTGTTGAGAATTATATCCAAATGACATTATGAATAGTTTAACTCAAGAGGTAAACATTGCCTTCATAATAATAATAATAATAGTTCTTCAAAATGTGAAGGCAATGTTTACCATCAAATTGGTATGCAAAATAATAAAGCACGCCGCCGATTATGATACATTCATTGAAGAGAATGTGACTTGTGATAAGCATTGAGAATGCAGACCCATTCCTAAAGGTGAATGTTGTAATATGTGATAAAAGTAATGAATAAAGACATGCAATGCATGATTGGATGAATACCACACAACTCACCTCTGAGGGAGGTTTGAGTGAAATAAAGAGAATAAATATTATTGTGTGGTTACATGAATATGTCATTGGTCGCGTACATGTGATACGCCAAAAAATATTTTGTTGTGCCTTATAGAAGGTTATTAAAGGCAAAATTAAAGCAAAAAATGACTTTGCTTATAATAATTTTGACAATGACAATTTATTATGATATACTTTTCTCCATGAATGAGACATTTACCATATGAATGGTGTGACAAAAGATCTTGTAGTACAAAAGTTGTTAAGAGATCCGAAAAAATTAATTTGTTACAACCCGGATGAATAAAAGTATTCACGACATTAATATTGTAAAGTCTCAAAAGAAACTTTTTGAGTTTCAAATATATAAGTCAAAGTGGTTGGCATATTGAGACTATAAATGAAAGGAATATTTCATATTTTCATATTTCTATAATCATAACGGATAAATATGAAAGTTTACCCGATTTTTTTTCTATTTGTACTACACAAATATAAGCATGATGATGGAATCATATGTCACAAGTAAACTAGAGGTTTACTAAAACAAATATTAGTTGGCATGACCGGTTGACCATCTCGGTTCAATTATAATGCGAAAAATTAATTGAGAATTACATTGACATATATTGAAGAAATATAAGATTCTTCAAGAATTCTCTTGTGCTACTTATTCTCATGATATATCAGTTAAAGTTGAGATTGAATCCTCTGATTTCTGGAACTAATAAAAGGTGATAAATATATGGGCCCAGTCACCTGTCATGTCGACCATTTACTATTATATAATTTTAATAGATGCATCTATTATATGGTCACATGTGCATTTATTATCAACTTGCAATTTGGCTTTTGCAAGATTGATTGCTCAAATTATTAGAGCACAGTTCCAAAATATAAATTATGATGATTTATCTTGATAATACTGGTTTAAATCCAAGTTGGTTTAGCAAAAAATTGTATGCCTCCAATTATATCTAAACCATTGGTTATGAGAACAAAATTGCCAAAATAAAATTTGGTATGTGATGTATTATTTAATATACAACAGCACTTGTACGCATCTAGCCAAGTTATAATAAGTTCTCCCTATCACGATCGGTTCAGGGTCAGGAACCAAATAATTTTCATCTAGAAATATGAATGTGCTATATGATTTAATTGTTCCACCACAATGCACAAAGATGGATTCCCAAATAAGGCTAGGGATATATGTTGGTGATCCCAACAATAGGGGAAAAAATGGGCAGCTGAAAAAGTAATGGATGTAATGAATTATTATGAATACATCTAGATACTCGTACGAGAAAATGTGAACTTGAAATTCAAGTCATAATTCATTTGCAAAATATTGCCAGGCGTATTTGCTGACCCAAAACTAAATGTCATATTCAGCTGCTAATGCTCCAAATAAAATAAAGTTCATAATGAATAGAGTCTATGGCATGCATGAAGCATAATGGACTAATCGGTTCCAAAGATAAAACTCCTTGAAGAAGGAAAGGAGCAAATGTTCAAGATGGTCATAATAAGGAGGCAAATGCTCTAGAAGAGCACCACGACATAACACTTCATAAGACCTCATGGGAGAGGCTCAGGTACCTGAAAATAATAAGATAAAGAGATCTCAATAAGTTATGTCTTTATTGGGTAATAGTAGAACCGATATAAAATGATCGTCGACGATATTGTTAATATAATATAGCGCTCAATATTAGTAATATTGACGGGGATTTTGAGCTCAAATCTGTCATGAAATTTGGACAGATAAATGATTGGCCAAATGAAAAATATGCAATGAAAATTGATTTCACCTGAAAAATATGAAGTTGGACGGATAGTCCCAACAACTGAAAGTATAAAGCCAGTGGAGGTATAAATGCGTTCTTGTGCGAAAAAAAAAGGTCAAGTCGATAAACATAAAGACGACTTGTGTCACAAGAAAATTTGTAAATATCTTGGCATTGATTATATAGAGACACGTTCTCCTGTGGTGGATGTCGTCATTTCAGGTTTTAATCTGGTAATACAAGAAAAACGTGATATGCGTATAATGGAAATCATTGAAGGATTTAAATTGTTCTGAAGCATATTAAGGTTTCCAATAAATTTATTAAATAAAGCTTCAAAAATCCTTATACGGATTGAAACAATCAGGGCGCATGTGGTATAGTCGCCTGAGTGAGTACCTGTTGAAAGAAGGGTACAAGAAGGATTCAATTTGTCCTTGTATCTTTATAAAAAGATCTGGATCTAAATTTGCTATAATCACCGTGTATGTTGATGATTTAAATATCATTGGAACTCCTAGGGAGCTTCCTAAAGCAGTAGAGCTTCCTAAAGCAGTATACTATTTAAAGAAAGAATTTGAAATGAAAGATCTTGGAAAGACGGAATTTTGTCTTGGTCTACAAATTGAGTATATGAAAAATGGAATTTTTGTCCATCAATCAGCATACACTAAAATGATTTTAAAGCGATTATATATGGATAAAGCATATCCATTCCGACCTCATGAAAATAATGAACAGGTTCTTGGTCCCGAAGTACCATATCTTAGTGCAATTGGTACACTAATATATCTTTCTAACATTACAAGGTCTGACATAACTTTTTCAGTTAATGTCTTAACAAGATATAGCTCTGCTCCTACAAGGAGACATTGGAATGGAATCAAACACATATTGCGGTATCTAAAAGGGACTACCGATATGAGATTATTTTATGGCAATGATTGTAGTCCCGATCTTGTTGGTTATGCCGATGCTGGGTATTTATATGACCCATACAAGGCTCGATCTCAAAGAGTCTATGTGTTTACATATGGAGGCACTGCCATATCTTGGCGATCGACTAAGCAATCAATCGTGGCTACTTCATCTAATCATGCTGAGATAATTGCTATTCATGAAGCAAGTCGAGAACGTGTATGGTCGAGGTCTATAATACACCTTATTCGAGACAAATGTGGTTTGAAATGTGACAAACTACCCACAATTTTGTATGAAGACAATGCAGCATGCATAGCCCAATTGAAGGGAAGATTTATAAAGAGGATAGGACAAAGAAAATTTCACCAAAGTTATTTTTCACACATGATCTTCAAAAGAATAGTGATATCAATGTGCAACAGATCCGTTCAAGTGATAATATGGCTAATTTCCAAATCTCTACCGACGTCAACCTTCAAGAAACTAGTGTACAAGATTGGGATGCAAAGGCTCAAGGATGTGAATTGATGCTCTCATCAGGGGGAGTTAATACGCGTTGTACTCTTTTTCCCTTACAAGGTTTTGTCCCACTGGGTGTTCCTTGCAAGATTTTTAACGAGGCAACCAAAAGGCGGATTTCTAAACATGTGTACTCTTTTTCCTTCACTAGAATTTTTTTCCCATAGGGTTTTTTCCTAATAAGGTTTTAACGAGGCACATTATCTAT